ATAGGTACGGATCTAGGTTGTTTCGGGACTTTTCGGCAGGATCAGACACTGTAGCTCGGTACTCGGTCCGTTACGCTTACGATTGGGAGCCTCCTAGAGTGACTGTCATTGGCCCGACAACTGTACCCAGGTTCCTGACAGGTCTGGTCTATGGGAGAGTCGAGCATCATTGGAGGTTGGTAAGGGCACTCAGGAAGGTTGTCCAATTTAGACCCTCTACAATCGAGTAAGCGTGGCTAGTGACTTACTGTCTTGATAGAGCGGTGCCCAATAGTAGGGAGTTGAGACAGGTCTTCTTCAGAATTAGGGCTGAACTTCATCGAGGGGCCGTTTCAGGTGAGATAGATAGGGCAAGGATCTTAGACGGGAGTTCCGGAGGTATAGATGCCTCGCTACGAGATAGAGCATCCCGTGGCGTTGAGACAGTTCACGTATAGAGAGTCTCAGTTTATCGACGGAGACTGGATAGAGTTCACGTTACCAGGCAGATCGACTTTGATACCTAACGGAGGAAGGACAGATAAGACTTGGAGATCAATACTGTTGAGGCCAGGGGTTTGGCTGTTGGTAGTATCTCATACAGGATTTTACCGGGATAGCAGGGGGAGGGTGATTCTGACCTCGGTAGAATTGTCAGTAAACGGCTTCCTTTACTATCAAACCATAGTACTAGCGAACGTCGTCCGTAGAGCAGTAGAGCAGGGCTGACGCGATCAGCACCTCGGAATAATACCGAGCCTCGATCGACACACGTGGGAGGACGAGATACCGACTGCAAACCTGCTGCAGGAGGAGGTCGAAAGATTCCAGGAACTGGAGAGTCAGGTGGGCAGGGAGTTTAGATTTATCAGGGTTTCTCTTCGACTAGCCGAGGACGGGTTTTTACCTCACTCAGAAGAAGCCGTGAGGCTTCCAGTTCCACTGTTTGTCCTGGAGACGCACCTCGGGGGGCTTGATAGGTTAATCCAGGTACACTTGAGCTTCCAAGAGATTCAAAACCTCTTACGTAGTAACGACGAACATCACGCCTATTACGCTTTGTGGAAGGAAGGGCCCAGGTTCGGAAACACGACCTTAGAATTAGTAGAGTTGATCAGGGCAGTTTTCCCCCGGAACTCGTGGCACGCACCCGATCTTGACCATCCAACTGAGTTTTGGTCCACATTTGAAAGGGGCATACGGGAGCCTCCAAACCATTTGGCTCGATTGGTTGAACTATTCAGCGGACGGGGATTCGATCCTTCGGTCAGAGAGAGGTCTCTCGTAAGTTTATTCGAGTTGAGGTCGTACTACCGAGGTACCGAAATTATCGAGAACGAGGGGGAACCTCAAGGCGAGGGTTGGGTTGAGGAAGAGTTGTTCGCTGACGAGGCTGACATGTGGGAGGTACAGTGGCCGAGATTGGGAGCATAGAGCGACCGTCGCTCGAGGGTATTCTTCTTCTACAATGGAAAGAAATTGGCTATGGTTGAAGAGTATCGTGAGTTCTTAGGAGACAAGCATGCTTGGGAGGAAGCCGAGGGAGGAGAGTTGCCAGATATAAACTCTTCGATCATCTCGCACCTACTAAGGGATTTAGAGCCCTTCACCTTAGGAGGAGCGTTTTTGTACGAGATTGAAAGATACGTTGTCCTAGCTATACCAGAGGGCGAGGAGAAAGTGTACGTATTGGTAGCTCGCTTTCTGGAGACCGATGAGTACAACGTGCGCATATACACGCCGGTAACTAGGAAAATCCAGAGGCGTTATACAGGGTGTCATGAATGGGCGCTCAGTCACGTCTGCAAATACAGGGACGAGCTCGAGAAGGAAGGTAAAAGAGTTATCTGGAGTGTGGAGCCCACGGAGTATGAAAAATTTTCAAGCCCACCAGTCCCTAATAGCTTCGTTAGTGGAGAGAACAGGGAGCCCCTGATAACCATGACACTTAGAGCAAGATCCTGGGGAAAAGGGAATGATGAGTGAAAGAAAAACCATCACAAATGAGGAATTGGAGGCAAGGAGGGAGAAATTCCTCTCGGGGAACAGATCGACAAGAGAGAAGATAGAGACTGTGTGTACGGCACTTAGCCGCCTCGGCAGGAAAAAACCAATTCCTTATGAAGTTGAAACGTACGATACGATAGATAGCAGCTGGGAACAAACATGCCTCTACGTAATGAGCGTATGTTTTTTGGGGACAGAGGTATGTGACGTCCGAGTTCACCTACCAATAGAAAGAGAGGTAGACCTTATCTACGGTCGATGTTGGGAAAGAGCAAGAGAAGTGGTGGAAGACGAAAGAGATAAATTACTCTCAATAGGCAAAGCCGTCACGTGGAGCACAAAGATAGCAACCTTTGAGCGGCTGCCCAGACCCCCAGTTCCTCATGAGGCCCTGACATACGGGAAAGGCGAAATGGTGGTGAACCTTGCGCTACGGCTCGGGGGACCCGATGGCAAAAGGAGGAGGTTGTAGATCAACAGGCGGAGACATAGTGCAAGAAGGGCTCTGGCAAGAAACTCATAGGAGAACCTTCGAAAACCTACTCCGGCTTCTAAGAACATGAACTCGAGAAGATCTTTGTACTATGGGAACGTCGATTTGTAGAAGGTTAACGTGTCCAAGGACTCAGAGAGTGGAGATCAGGAGAGGAACTGGTTGCCTAAATGTCCAAGAAGGGGAATTGTATCTTGAAACGGGACTTTTCGGAGTGGAGGGTGAGCATGAGATAAGAGACGGCAGAGGCAGGTTGGTGGGGGTCTTGAGGGCAGTAGATAATTAAATTGTGAGCGGAAGGAATCGAATCGAAATAGAATTGTCGGGATTGAGAGTGATGCAAAGAGCAATGCCGGGAGCGGTGACTGAAGAAGAAGAAGTGAATCGGGTATCCTTCGCTGGAAGAGTGACGTCGGTCATTAGAATTCAATCAACTAGGTCTCTGGACGAACGAAGCTGTAGACAACTTGCCGAAAGGGCGATTGAAAGGGAGAGACCTAGGGTTCTGGAGCTAGTAAGAGCAGAAAGAAGGATAACCTATGATGTGATGGTTTGGTCCCAAGGATGGCTGAGGTACGAAGTAGAGAAGGACGAGACAGTCCAAGAGGCAGAATCCCGCGTGTGAGAGGGAGTGACGAAAAGGTTAATTCATTACTTGAGGCATACTCGGATCCGATAAACGATAAGATAATACAACTAGTGGATGGGTATAAGGAGTGGAGCGGCTCTATGGATGTGCAAGAACTTCGGGCGCTCGAACAGAGGGTTGAGGAACTGACCTTAATCTATAAGGAGGAAAGGGAAAAGATAATAAACTGGAGGGAGGAATTCCTGGCAAGGAGGATAAGAGAGGTCCGCAGAGAAACCGAGGAGAGGAGGAATGGCTAGTGTCGGGGGCGCGGCCGGGAAGTATCGACTAATCGGTGGGGGGAAAATTGAAGGATACTTAGTGCGGGCAAGGGTAGAAGTGATAAATAACGAGAGGCTGAGTCAGGAAGAAGAAGCGGAGGCAACTAGAAAAGCGATTAAAGAAGCTAGGATTTGTGTTATCTGGAAGGCAGCTGACGAACTTCGATTGGCAAAGATTGAGATCTGCACGACGCCGTTTGAAGGAGAGGACTTTTTCAGGGAGTGGAGAGAGACCATAGTAGAAGCAAGGACCAGACTAAGGGAAGACGTTCGCGAGCCTCAAGAGCTTTCTAACGACGTGATTGGCGGAGTTTCCCTAAGAACCTTGGAAGCTAACTCGCGTTATACGAAAGTCGTGTTGACCACTGCTTTAGTAATTAGGGGAGAAGGACAAGACGCTGACTTCGAAGCACTGCAATAGTTGCTGGACGGCTCCACTGAGAGGATCCTAGCCGCTTTAAGAAGTGTGGCCGAAAGCTAGACAGAGTGTTCAAGAATTAGTTAGGAAGGATGAACGTTGAAGGGGCTTATCTAACCTCGATAGGGGGCGAAGTAAGAACACAGGAGTCGAGGACGAATAGTCCAGACAGAAAAATGGGTGTCGACGTGGAGAACGACGCGGAGAGAATAAGAAGGGTCTTGAGAGAACTAGATACTCGTGTCAAAGAACCGGAGGGACGAAGCTCTAGGGGCGAAGGCCGGAGGAAAGAAGCTTTGAGCAGGACAAAGGTGGCGAGGTTCGCGGATCCTGGGGTAAGGGAGCCCTATAGAGAAGCCACGAGTGAAATTTAAAGGAGGGGCCCTTACTCCATGGCATATACACCGGTATTTATGTGTCCCCTTTTCTAGGGGCTCCGACATGCCAATCTTCCGGGCTGGCTGGAATCCAGACAATCTTTACAGGGAAGAATGTCACGGAGTTCTTAGATGATTGGGAAGTGTTAGGAATGACGGCAGAGTGGAGTGATCAAGATATGATAGTGAACTTCCTCCATCATACAGCTCCGAAGATAGACCGCGAAGTGAGGGACGCCATCCCAGATAACTGGCGCTGACTGACGTTTAGAGAGAGAGTTGCCCGAGTCTTCGCATGTGACGAGACCTCCTACTCGATAGACGATTTGAAAAGGATGAAAAAGCAAGAGGATGAGAGTCTGGTGGCGTTTGCGAGGAGATACGAGAAGGCGTCTAATCCCCTGGTAGAAGGAGGATTTATGGGGGAGATAGAGCGACGCGGGATATTTTTAGGGTTCTTATCCCGAGAGAAACGCGAAAAGATCATGAGGGATCTCCCATCTAGGGTGGTGTTTGGTCAAGTTTTACTTTTAGTCCACGACACGAAGGGACAAAGCGCTAAAGCACACCTCGCTAGGATTCTCGATAACTTAGGGAAGGGAGTAACTTCAGACAATGGGGGAGGCCTCAGTATGAGGATAGAAGACCCCGAATTGAAGGAAGGGACGTCGGCACGGGTTCACCTAGGAGAGGAGAGTCAGTCAGAGGCGATAGCGATTGGAAGAAAGGAGGGAGAGGAGACTGGAAAAGAAACGACGGAGAATGGGGAACTTCCTCTAAATGGTCCAACACTAAAGACAGTCGGTGGAAGCCGAAGGAAGAGATAGAGGTTAGAAGACCGGAAAGGCGAGAGGAGGAGATGGTGAAGCAGATAGAAGTCCCGAAGGCGGCAGTGGAGAAGTTACAAAGTAATAATCAAAGGAAGGAGAAGACTCCGACTCGGACTGCTCCCCGAATGGAGAATCGCGTGGACCCTAGTCCGAAGCGGACTTGGAATAGTAAAGCCTGTATGTACTGTGGAGATGAGGACCACCAAAAGAGAGACTGCCACGCAATGATGGACGCCCTGAAGGAGGGTATCATCGAGTTAGATGATCGGAAATATGTGATGTGGGCGGATGAAGGGAAGCCTGTGCCCTTCCTACCTTCGATAAAAATTAATGTGGATATCAGGAGGCGAAGGATGAATGAAGCAAAGGGGAAACAAGCGCAAGAGCCGACGGCGGCGAAGGTTTCTCGAGTAACGTTTGAGGAGGACCTTGATGAGCTATCGGAGAGTCCTGGGATGAGAATCTCGTCCATTAAGTTTGAGGAGACAGAGAATAACGACGAAGTTTACGTTTGCACTCAGGGTGTTGGCGAGTCGAGCGAAGGAAAGAAAGAAGACCAAGACCAACCGATGACAGACGAAAAAGTGGAGTCGCCTAAGTCACCTCAGTCCCCTAGAAAAAAAGGGGCCAAGAAGTTCCACTTGAAAAACTCGCTGGATGAGGTAGACTTAAGGGAACCGCTAAGAAGGGTCATGGACATGCCCATTCCTATTACCCTGAAAGAGTTCATAGCCAGTTGTGGACCGCCGCGGGATGAGCTAATAGGGATGATAAAAAAGGCGAAGGTGCCGCTGTCAGAGGCTGTGACTTCGAGCGAGCCGAAGATAGAAACAAAGACCTCTGTCCTGTCCACTGAAAAATGAGAGGTGGCTTGTGTAGAGGCCAATGAAGGTGGAGGCGACTACTTTTATGTCCTCTGTAGTGGGAAGTTGAACGCCACCGTGAATGGGATGAGAATGGAAGCTATAGTGGACGACGGGTCTGAGTCTACCGTCTGTGAGGATAAAGTGGCTCGAAAGCTTGGTCTAGAGGTAGACAGAAGTGTGGCCATGACCATGGTATCGGCTAACAAGCTAAAGCAGCGTGCGCTAGGAGTGTGCCATAAAGCCAAGGTCATAGTCGCTGGAGTCGAAGCCACCGTACCTATCTTCACGGTCGAACATTGCTCTTCGGAACTGATCTTTGGAAGAATAAGCGAGAATACCGCTGAGAATAAGCGGGACGACAGTCAGACGGTTACCATAGACGGGCCTGAGGGAAGCAGGGTCAGCTTAAAAACTGTGAACGAATTTGACAAACATCACAAGGTTTCCCTACAGAATAGAGGACTGTTAAAAACAAGAAGCTGCCAGATGATTCCTGAGGAACTCACTCTTGGGCCTCATAAAGTGAGAGAGGCTAAGATTGAAGTTGATGACTTAGAGGGTAAGTACGTGGTAGACGGGATGGCCTACGAGAAAGAGGTTGACGACGACGAGTTTGGTGGATGTGTGAACCTGTCTTTTTTGGAGGAATTCCCCCACACGGCGGGGGAAAAAGATACATAACATTAGCGCAAAAAGTCAAGCCAGCCGCGGTCAGCCGTGATAGGACCGGGGAGGTAGGGATCACTAAGGAAGAGATCACTCGGATGATTAAAAAGCGAAAGACTACTGAAGGGCAAAAAATTACCGACGACAGGATAAAGGGAATGGACATAGGTGATGGAAACATAACTAAAGAGGAGAGGGAACTGATAATAGACACTTTAAGAGCGTGTGACAAGGCAGTAGTCTTTTGTAAGGCGGAGAGAGGGAGAATAGATCCCAGGTATGCTAAGCCCGCAAGGATCTATACGGTGTCGCACGTGCCGTGGAATGATGCTGGATGGAAGTGCACGCAAAAGGAAAAGGAGATGATAGTGGAATTCCTGAAGGAGAAGATAAGAACGTTCGTGGCAGAACCATGTGAGAGCGCCTATGCCAACAGATGGTTCTTCATTCGAAAGTCGAATGGAAAGCTCAAATGGATACAAGACTTACAAAAAACGAATAAGGTTATAGTTAGGGACGTCGGGTCTATTCCGAATGCAGATCTTCTCTCTGAAGGAGCTGTCGGGTGCTCGATTTACTCGGTCTGCGATCTTTTCTCAGGATATGATGAGGTACCACTTGACCCTAGAGACAGACACCTCACGGCCATGCACACGCCATTGGGACTAATACAAATGATGGTGGTGCCAATGGGATGGACTAACAGCGTGGCGGTCTTCCAAAGAGCGATGGTAGCAGTCCTGGGAGAACTTATACCGAATCTGGTACTGGTTTTCCTGGATGACTTTCCAATCAAAGGACCCTATGAGAAGGACGAGACTGAGGTGAGACCTGGAGTAAGGAAGTTCGTCGCTACCCACACTGAAGATATTAAGAAGGTGTTAGTAATGTTAGAGGACGCTAATCTGACAGTGAGCGGAACCAAAAGTAGATGGGCAGTGTCTTCCATAAAGATACTAGGCTACATCTGCGACAAGGATGGTAGAAGGTCGGATCCCGCGAAGTTAGAGAAGCTTATGAACTGGCCTACTCCGCTACGACATATTACCGATATACGCCAGTACCGATATACGCCAGTTTCTGGGGTGGTTGGATTCTGGAAGAACTTTATTAAGGGCTATGCTGGAAAGGCCGAACCGCTAATGAGGCTCTTGCACAAAGGGGTGGAATGGAGATGGACGAGTGAACAGGAGGATACTGTGAGAGTTCTAAAGGATGAGTTTAAAGAAGGGGGACAAGTTATTGGTGTCCCTTACTTTGAGGACGAGGAGAAGCGGCCATTTGTGGTATGCACGGATGCGGGACCTGCCTCTGTTGGGGGAGTCTTAGCTCAGAAAGACCAGGAGGGTCATGAGAGACCTCTCAGATTCGAGAGTAAGACCCTAAATGCCACTGAGAGGAACTACTCCCAGTTTAAGAAAGAGGTCATCGGGGTGCTACACTGCTTAAATGTCTTTCGGCATTATATTTACGGTCGAAGATTCATACTGAAGGTCGACGCGACGGCGGTGGCGGCCGTCTTACAGAAAGACTTTTCGTTGACTGATCCCACAATTACCAGGTGGCTCATGCATATAAGAATGTTCGACTATGTGGTGGAACGGATATCAGGGGTTAAGAATTCGGTTGGAGATGCCTTATCGTGAATTTCGTTAGAAGAGGGGAACCTAGGGTCGCCTGGTGGACTCGACAAGTTCTTACAAATGGAGATAGGCTCTCTAAGAGAATAGTCTAGTGCGGGCAGGACTCCTCTGTTCCTTGAGAATCTCTATACGGCAAAGTACCACCGGATAGGGCGGTATCTCATAGGCGAAGCCGAGATGGATGACAAGGTTAGGAGGGAGGCTCAACAGTATTGCCTAAGAGCATGGCACCTCTTTAAGAGGCCGCCTAAGAACGGGATGCCGATGAGGGTCGTCTGTGATAAGGATGAGCAACGAGACATAATAGCGGAGCTTCACGACGGCGTCGTTGGAGGACACAGAGGAGTGAAGGGAACCTTTGAGAAGGTCAGGAACCTCTATTGGTGGGATGTTCTATATAAGGACGTGGAATCATATTGTCTCACGTGCGTGGAATGTCAAAAAATGATTGTGGTTAAATATAAGGAACCCTTGTTCCCTTCGTATCCTACAGCGGTAGGTCAGAAAGTTTACGTGGACTTAGTTAAGATGCCCAAGGGAGAAGGGGGAATGAATTATATCATGGATATTAGGGACGACTTGACCAGATTTGTAGAGGCATGGCCGCTGCGTTAGAAAACTGGCAAGGCTGTTAGTGGATATCTGACGGAATACATCATGCGGTATGGTTGCGTAGGGAAGATTATCATGGATAGGGGGTCAGAGTTTATGGCTAAGGAGGTTCAGAAACTGCTCCAGTGAGCGGGGATACGGGTGCCGCTATCTACGACATATCATCCTCAAACTAACGCTCCTGTAGAGAGGGGGCATCAGTCTCTAGTGAAGGCGCTCGCCAAGTGGTGCGAAGGAAAGGAAAATAAGTGGCCTAGGTATCTGAGATTCGTTGTCTGGGCGGATAATATTACGGTTCGATCGACTACGGGGTATCTTCCCTACACTTTGTGGCTTGGAAGACATTGCCCTTTACCAATAAAATTTCAAATCGACTCTTGGCAGACGATTGATTGGGAAGAGGTCTCGACTAGAAAACAGTTTTTGGTCGCTAGAATCAAGCAGATAGCTGAACTCTAGAGGATAGCACCCTGGATGCTACAAAAAGGCTAAAAACCCAAAGGGGGAAAGAGAAGGAAAGGTGGGACAAGAATCTCCGAGTCAGGCAGCAAGGGATACCCGCGGGGAGCCTCGTCTTGCTTTACGATTCCTCGTTAGAAATGACTTGGACAGGGAAGTTAGCGAATCGATGGATGGGGCCCTATCGTGTGGTAAAGAGGCTAGAAGGCGGAGCCTACCTGATAGAGGAACTGGACGGGGCCAGATGGACGGAACCGGTATCAGGGGCCCGCTTAAAAGTCTTTAAAGATCGAAAGGGGTCTACCCCGCATCCAGTGAAGAGTAAGGAGAAAGAAGAGGTCGACGAGCGGCTAGAGGAACGCTTGAAAGAGCATAAAGAAAGGGTTGCAGAGAAGGTCACTTATGAGACAGGAGAATCTTCTAAGACGTCTGCAAAAAAGGGGAAAGAGAAGGTCCTAGGGGTCAAAAGTAGACAATGGAGAGACACGAAGAAGAAGAAGCGCGAGGTCGTACAGTCGGCCGCGTTAAGAAGGGAGAGGAAGCGTAAGGATAAGGAAGCTATTAAGGGCATGCTGGTAGTAGACAAGAGGGAAAGTGAGCGTCGCTGCGAGAGGAAGCAACGAGGGTCCACCAATCGATTAGGGGTTAAAAAGGGATTGGTTAAGAAAAAGTGAGGAAAGAAGAAAGGGCGACAAAAAGGGACACGTTGAAGGAAAAGAAGACAATCTTGGGTTGATGGGTAGAGATTAGGAGTCGGCTTTTCTCCTTCCTCTTCCTTGATATACCCAGATCGCTCGCCAGGGACGTCGAGAATGGGGGGGGGTCTGCTGTCGGGCGGCTCCAGCCCTACGTCGCGCTTTACTTCCTTTACAAGGGCGCGCAACGAGGTTCTCATTTGTTGGTTTCTACCTGGCAGGGGCTCACCAGCCATGGGAAAAATGCCGCGACAGGTTGACGGAACGAGTGGCCGGGATACAACGTTCAGTTCGCGCAGGGCTCGAGCGTTGAACAGTAGTATCATTGTGGAGAGAGCCTAAGACGTAAGCTACCGACGAACACAAAGAGGCTACCACAACGGACAACTGCCGAGGGGTCGGACAAGAGGGCACGGCTGCGAAAGGTCGGGATGATACTAAAGGTCGGCGAAATAGTCGAGGGAACGGAGGCGCCGGGCATTTATCACAAGGCTACGGACGTTTTAAGCGGCGGCGGTGTCCGAAGTTGCCTCGAGTAACCGAATGCTCAAGAACACCCTGCGTGAACAAGCGGTGGGATCAGGCCTACGCGGGGGCCTCGACACTAAGACGAGGAGGGTGCGGGCCTAGGGCTCGGAATGGGCCTCCCGGCCTAGAGTTTTGGACGGGCCTGCGTGACTTTTACAAGGGGGGCTGGTACCACTTATGAGTGGGGACCACCAAGGCCGAGATAGGCCCAGGGCAGGTTCGGAAATAGGTCCGGTACCGGGGCGCTGCAAAAGGCCCGGTTCCCGACAAAAAGGCCCCCTCGACAAAAACCTTTCGGGGGCCCAATTAGGCTCGGGCACAGGTCCGGTACCGGGGCGCTGCAACATGGGTGCAGGCCCAAAGAGCGACGGGACCGAGGGAAGGAGCCCTGCGAACTTTAAAAGCCGAACAAGGCTCCGGACGGGGGGCACTTCGCACGTGCACGAACAGGAGCACACTGCTCGCGTGCACAGACATAGGCGCAGGAGACAAAGCACGGGGGAGGGACTTCACGCAGGGACGAACAAGGCACGCACGGAGACAGATGCGCTC